GGTTGAAAGGTCTGTCGGTGTCATCTTCACTGTTGCAGGCCTCTTCGATCATCTGGAGTCTGACCTGTTGCAGAGACCGTTGTGTCACCTCCGCCTGTCTCGGGAGGTTTTTCGTTGCTGCTCGGTCAGAGAACAGTTTTGCAAGTCTCTCGGCTTCCTCTTCTGGGTTGGGATGGGTTGGTGGTGGTGGTGTTGCCTTCCCAGATGCCCTTCGGATCTGGGCCCACATTTTGCCAAGGGAGGTGTGCTCGTTCAGTTCGGAGCACCACTTGAGCCAGCTTACGTTTTTTATTTCTTCCTTCTCTTCCCTGGTATCCTTAACTATGACTTGCAGGAGATGTCTGTTTATTTCCGTGGGATGTCTTCTGTAGTTTCTTCGGGCCATGTTCACTCTGTGGTTGAGTTCTTTCACCCTGGGACAGTAGTACCAGTAATCATTGTACTGTCTTGATGTGGGTTTTGTTTTTGGGATAGCCTCTTCTGCCGTTTGGTGAAACGCCTCGACCAATTGTTGGTGGAGGGTTGTCTCATCCACGGGTGCTGCGCCGGCCGGCTGTGATTTTCCGCGCCACTTTGCCAGGTGTTTCTTAAAGAGTCCCCAGTCTGCCTTTTGGGTTTTGTATCTCCATCTCGGCAGGGGTGGAGTGGGGTGTTTGTTCACCTTCAGCGTTGTTAGGGTGGCGAAGTGGTCGCTGGTCAGCGTGGGGTGTAGCTGCCAGGAGGCCGAAGGCTGTAGTGCACTGGAGACGAAGGTTAGATCTAGCCTTCCTCCCCGAATGTGGGTGGGCTCTCCGGTGTTCAGGAGGCAGATCTCGGGTGTGTCATGAAAGGTGGTGTATAGGTGTAGGCCGTCTTCATTTGTGGGGCTTACCGAGCTGAGGAAGGGATGATGTGCGTTGAAATCCCCTCCTATGAGTGTGGCGTGGTCAGCGGCTGAAGCGAATAATTGAGTCACCTCCAGTGAGCCCCTTGGGTTCTTGTAGATGTTGTGAACAGTTAATTCCCGTTCTTGGTGGGTTACTTTGACGGCCTGTGTCTCTATGTTTTCCCCACATGGAAATTGCTGCATGACTTCGGAGGAGGGTATGCTTGACTTGACCAAGATCATACATCCTCTTGTTGACGCCTGCGTGAAATGCCTCCTGTATGTCTTGTAACCACTGAATTTGAAACAGTGGTGTTCTTGTAGAAGTGTTTCTTGTAGCATTATAATGTCAAGCTTGTCCTTGGCTGCTGCTTCTTGCAGGAGGTGTTTCTTGTTTTTGATGCCCTGAGCATTCCATGTAAGGATGTTCAGGGTGCTGATGTTTTCCACCACTGTTTCATCGGGGACTTCTGGTGGTCCTCGATGGAAATGTTCAGGTCCGATTCCGACTGGATCAGGTTCATATCTTCTTGTTCTGTGGTTTTTGCCTTCTGGGCTGTGGTTCGGTTCAGGGGAGTTGAAACGTCCAATTTCTTTCTGGGAGCTGTCGGTATCTTTGGTTCTTTGGTGGCCTTTTTCGGTTTAGAGTGTACCTCGGCTGTCACTCGTGTGGGGACCGGCGTGGCGTCCTCCACTGAGGTGGCTGGAGCTGTGGCGACTTGCCCGAGGACGCTCCCCATGAGTGTTTGGAGCTGTGTGGGTTGGATCTTGTGGTCCAGTAGTCCGGCTAGGCCCTCCGCGAAGGTTGTCAGTACCTTGGCTAGGTATGATACGTGTATCATTCCTTCTGGTGCCTTGGTGTGTGCTTCTTTTGTCTTTTTCGTGGATGTCGTTGTCTGCTGTTTGGGTGGCTGAGGTGTGGCCGTAGTGAGGCCAGGAAACTGGGCTGCACTTGGGTGTTGACCGGCTGAGGAGGTTGGCTTTGTTGTTTTGGCCTTTGGGTTCCCCACACGAAGGTACTTGGTGGGGCTGGTGTGCAGGCGGTGGGGGCCGGTCTTGCTGCTGGTCGGTTTGCCTGGACCCTCTTTGTCCTCTCGGAGCATCCAGGGTTCCAGGCGTGGTGTTTGCCCCCGCAGTTGGCACACTTGGGGGCAATTTTTTCTCCATTTTTCAACTTGGTGAGGCAGGAGTGTGTGCCGTGCTTCTGTGCGCAGACTGCGCAGATTTCCTTGTACGTGCACCTCGTCTGATGGTGCCCGTATTTCTGGCATCTGAAGCACCGCAGGGGCTCCGGGACGAAGGGCCTCACTTCGTAGATCCCCCAGGTTTTAAGGTTTATGGTGCTGGGGGGTGGACCGTAGTGCGTAGCACTTGTTTTGTGGTGGCCGTCTTGTCGGACAGGGGAGAGCATCTCTCGGCTTTTAGGATCTTTGGGTGGTTCTCCAGGAATTCGAGGGGGTAGTTCCTTTGGGTACTGGAGGACTACCGACTTCTTCAGTTTCTGGGAGGGGTCCAGCTTGGTTGATGCAACAGTGGTGGTGTTTTGGAGGTAAGTGTCGAGGGTGGTGGCGGAGTCCTTGTCTTTGGGGTGAATAATCATCTCCCCCTTTAGGTTGGGCCGCATTGAGAACTTGGCCAGTGGATTTCGTTTTTCGATCTCTGTGATGGCGACATATGTCGTTTTCGTGTCCGTTTTTGAGATCCGGAATTTTGGCAGTGTCGTTGGGGGTGAGCTGGTGGTGGTGATGGGTCCCTTTCGGGCTGCTTGACGGCATTCGATTCCCGAAAAAGCACGTCGGCGTTTTTTTGTTTTCAACCTTCGTCCAGTTGTCGTCCTCAGTGGCGGTAACAGTGGTGGTGGAGTTGTTGGAGGCGGTGGCAGTGTTCTTGCTTTTCAAGGCTTCGTGGAAGGCCCGTAGCTGGTCCGCTTTCTCTGTGCGGAGCCTGTCGTGGTTCGGGTCGTCAGGTTGGCGGTTCAGGCGGGGGTCGCGGTTAGGAGGGCGTACGCACTCCATAACCGGTGGTTAAGTGGTGTGTGTTTTTTTTTTTTTTAGAGCCTACCTATTCCGGTTGAGTAAGTAGCAGAGGAATTTCAGCACTCCCCACAGGCAATGATGGCCGGGTGGTCGTAGAGTGGTTCCTGAGCTTCTCTCCCGGAGCCCCGTTAGGGGAAACCTACTTCCTAGTGTATGTGACTGCTCACTTATAGACGTGAGCTAAGTGTGCCTATTGGGGAAGGATAAGGATTGCTACCCTCTTTCCAGGTGGACCCGCACGATCACGGTTTTCCTGGAAAGACTCGGCTGGGATGGGTTCTTGCTCCAACCCCCTTTCGTGTTCACAATCTCCTGGGAGGGAGGTGAACAGTTACAGGGATGACCGCAGGACGAATACACTTTTGAGGGTGCAGGTCCCTAGGCCAGAGCGAAAAAAGGAAAAATAGCAGTAGAAGGAAAAGAGCTCAAACCACGTCGGGAATATCGCGCTATAGCTGCTCTCCAGCTGGAGTGTGGGTCACTCACACCACCAGTGGGGAGGGCAAGCTAATGCTCGATAAACCGAAAACGCTCGTGAGATGTTGTCGACGATGTCAGTGGTGGATGGTCCGGTCCGGGAAGACGGCCAACAATGGCTGCCAACAATGCAGCAGAGAGAGGGCGGTCTTTGCAGTTCCGGGTCCACCAGGAGGTCTTGTTGAGAGGTCTTCTTAGTTCAGGAGCGATGTGTGAAGTGTGTGATAGACAGGCTATGGTTAGGGCACCTTTTCTAGGCCCCTTCCCATGTGGGGTGAGCAGAGTGCCTCCTGGAAAGGGCTGCTAAGTCGCACAGACAGGACCAGATTGCACTGCAGCCTAAATCCCAGTGCATAAGCGACAATCTTATCTATGCCGTCCGTGTACAGAGTTGTGATTAGAGATTCCCGGCAGTCATCTCTGCAGGTCGCCGTTGCCACTCGTCTGTCTTCATAGGACTTTTGGGGGTGTAGGGGTTTTGATGATGATGAGACGTATAATTATCTAGATGATGTGGCTGCGCGTGAGTTTATTTATGTGGTGAGTCTGGAGTGAAGGCTGCAACAACACATCTTGGCTCTCCCTTTTCCTGGTCCAGTGGTGCAAAAAGATGCAACGACTGGGGAGAGGGAGAGTTGCAATGGACTGTGTGTTTGTTGGGTTTCCTCTTAGTAACCTGTAATCTTGCATTGCCTTCATCCGCCGGTTTAGTCGTTGGGTTCCCATGTTGGTCACCTCCTCCGCCTGCTCCACCTCTAGGGTCTTACTGGAGCTATATAAGCATGTCTGCCTGATGTCGAGCTCCACCGCAGATTGTTTCATTCGGGGTTTTCTCCCAGAGCCTTAAACCTACCAAGGTTAATCCGAAAGGCAGCGGGGCAGTGGTTGGTAGGTGCCAGGGCGTGTCCACATGCCGGTGGACCTATGCGCCGTCCCTCTGGGGCCCACTACCGCTCCGAGGTCCCCTGCTGGCTTAGCCTGGGGCCGCAAGACACCCAGTTACACACACACATACTCAACATTCATACTTCCCAAGCTCACCTATGCCTCCCCTGCCTGGTCTTTCTCCCTAAATGCCACACAACGGAAAACCTAAAAAAAGTGCAGAAGAGGCCATGCAAGATTATTCTCTCCCCTGCCTACTCCACATATCAAGAAGCGCTAAACACACTGTCCCTCTCTGCTCTCTCTGATCGTCACCACGGCCTCCTCTGCAAATGTGGTGAGAGGCTTCTGTACCATCCTCGGTACCGGCTCCTACTTCCACCCGAGAACCCTCGTCCGTGAATTGCTGTTCGACACCACAACCGCATCCAGACCATACGAGCACGTACTGATCGCAATAAGAACAGTCCAGTCCCAACCATTGTAAAATTATCAACAACTCGAAATCAACCGGTGTGTTCACTCCCAGCCAGTCTTACATTTTTGCACTGTAACTATGCTGAAATGTCCCACCTTGTTACTATAATGTATATCATATTTGTATCACTTAAGTTATCTGTATATTCTTTGTCAATCAAGTGAATCATTTCCCAATTATGTAACTGTATATTTTCAGCTTTTTGGCTACCATGCTCTTTCAATAAACCGTTAAATAGTATTAATTATTATTATACACACACACACACACACCGGATGATAATTTTTGGGTACTCATAAAGTGCTCGTCTGAATAGGTTCTCTCTGACATGTTTTGGACATAAAGGGATAAACCTGAAGTGTGGAGGTGTAACACATACAGGGTAGATACTATAACTTCTAAACAAACAACGCAGTGAATGAAAATTTCAACAAATTATTTTTTTTTCAGACTATTTGCCTTTTAGCACCGACTCAGGCCAGGCTGAAGTGACGGGGAGCTGTTGACGACACTACATTTGAGACAAGATGAGACTCAAGTACCATCATAACTACATTCATATATGCTATCAATAGCCAATCAGCACCATCACTTTCCTGACGTCAGAATTCAATAGCCAATCAACGCCTCCGTTATCACCACGCTCACGGTAAGACTGGTAATAAGTTCAACCTTCATATACTACTACAAGCAGGATTTATTCCAGAATTTATAATGAGCAAAAAATTTATACATATCTTCTAGAAAGTTAATATAGTGATCTAACATGGGAAAGTATTCGATATGAGCATCATTAGTGCAGTGAACAAGCTAATGAGGCACCATACGCAACTATTTTGGTCTGTGTTACCTCCATGGGGTGATATTTATAGACGTATGGAAGAAAATGACGAAGAGATTTGATGCTACATAATGTACAGGCAGAAGGACCAAGGCAAGGGGGTACGACAGGTTGTTGGTGGTAAATCTTCTTTATTGTAGACTTCGGGCAACACTGTACACCTTCACAAGTACTGCCGAATAAATGTGGATATTTTTGGCTAGTACTTGTGTATGGTACTTGTGTAAGACTTATTCTACGTATGAGGTTCAACACCAACTTCTGTTGTTAATGTTATGGATGTTCTTACAGACAGACACAGACAGGCAGACAGACATACAGACAGTTACAAGTTAGCTAGTTAAACTTAATGTCTGGTCCATCCATAGAAGCCAACTCGTAACAGAATAAGGTAATTTAAGAAGGAGTTTTTAATATTTAATAACAATAATAACTAATTATAAAGACAATAAATCCTAAGCGCTAACCCAACACCAGTGCCCTAGCTAAACATATAAATATCCTAACTATATACTGTACACACTAAAGTATGGGGGACAAGAGCAAAGAGGAGCCAGAGAAAAACTTAAACCATCTACTTCTCTCTGCGGTGAATTTTATGGTACGTCTAGCGTATTGCCAGATACCCAAAGAATGTTCTATACTACTGAGGGTATATACAAACACTTGTTGTCTTTAAAAGTAGGTTCTATTCTCGTACGGGAGATATTTATACAAACAATAGGACGCGGAAGCCCGTGGGCACGCCACCAGGACTCGGTCTTGACTACTTCTATCTATGTATTACTACGCGCTGGCCTGTACAGATGCCAGCATTCACAAGCTGAATACATAAAGTATAAATGTGATAATTTATATACATAATATGGTGCACAATGAATAGAATATTACATAGAATTAATACATGTTCTGTAATACTTTACTATACATAATTAATAAGAGTAATATAAGAGTAATATAATAATATACAGCTGAAGGTACTTCTTTGTGTCCATATATATCATACAGTACGAATGATGATCAAGGTGGTCACTTAAAGCGCTGGAACCCGGGGAAGGTAAAGGTCCTAAAGGCGAGCCACTTTTCCAGGACAAAGGACGAGAGTGAACTGAAGTTTAGGGCGAGATACAGGCCTCTCGTCACCTTGGTGGTTCACGGGAGAGGCGAGGGTGACGTGGCAGTGTTGTTATTGAGGCTTCTGACTCTTGCTCCGACGTCGTGAAGCGGCAAGGTGGTGTTGCTTAACTGGTAAAGTTGCATAAGTGCACACAACTATGTTAGAAAGTAAAAAATGTGTTTTTCAAGTGTATTTATGTGTATTTAGATCGGTTATGACCTTCACTTCCGTCGGAAATTGGCCGGGTTTTTTATCTTTTTTTTTTTTGGCGGGGCGTTTTCCGACAAAAATTATGGGTAAGCGAATACAAAATAAAAAAAATAAAAAAAACACTAGAAAAACATAAACCTGACCTAACCTAACCTAACCTAACCTAACTGACTCTCACCTTATGATGGAATCACTTATTTCTTACCTTATTGGACGAGTTACCACAATGCCACATATGTTGGTCTTGACGATATTTACATTCGTTCTTGCACTTAGGAGTCCTAAGTTAGGACACTTTACTGAGGTCGGGAGAACACCATGAGATCGAAAAAATGCTACAGTTCCTCGTTTTTTCCCCCAAAACTCGCAATCAGCTCCATATAATTGAAGTGACACCTATCGCAGACTTCCATGGTCGGAAATGAATTTGAATTTCAAAATATGAGAGACCCAAAATAAAAATCGAATTTGATTGGGCCAAAAATACAGCGAATTAAACCACAAATCATTTTACTTGGTTGCCAAAAAAGAAAACGCCTTTAATTGGCAGCGTAACGTGTATGGAAACGCATGCTCATGATGATTTATGAAGGAGACACTCAGTGTGGGAGGTGAGGTAGGCGATAATGGCAGAAGATTAATGGAAGAAAGTAGAGAAAATTTTGGATACGCTACCTCCGTTATTATACATTTGCGACGGTAATGTAATAGATAAAAATTATCTTATATATAGACGTCTTATTCGAATATGACAATAGAATAGGGATAGGAATGTTGTGTGTTGAAATGCAATAATACCGGATAATTTGCCCAGCCCCCAGATGTCATTGAGCCAGGGGGAGGGATGTGACAATACATACATACATACATACATACATACATACATACATACATACATACATACATACGAGTGCCCGTATGCGTGTATAGTATGCATACGGTATACTATAATAATTATGTGCGAGTGAAAGATATGATTAGCGACCAGTTGTGTCCAGTTGGTGCTGTATGCAAGTAAAAGCTCCAGCGACTGAAGTAATCGCACACTGTCAAAGATTATATGCATTTGTATCAGCTGCGTCTCGGAGACAGCTAGAAGCCTGCTGGATGTGTATGTAGAAAATTGTGGATGTACTAATATTATACACATACCTACAGAAAGTATCAGTATGGTAAGAATTTTCTGCGTGTATTGAATCACTCTCCATCTCTCGGTAATCTCACCATCAATAAACACCATCACTATCACTATCATCATTTTACATACTCCTTCCTCAACACACACACACACACACACACACACACACAACTTTTCTCACAGTCTCCAACTTCCCCAATACCTCGCTGGTTCCTCTGTTATTGTATTCTCTTGTGAGAAACCTTCGGGCTCCTGAATTGCTCTGTATAATTTTCTTGATTCTAAAAAAGAGAATTTAGATTGTCAATATTTTCTTTGTTAGAATTGTTGTTTCCTATATGAATTCCATGTTTATAAAACCCCAGTCTGTTTCTGATTGCTTGCTTCGTTTTCGCTACACAACCTTGAGCTACATTGATTGATCTCGCTAGTCCCGGATTTCAGTTGATTGTATTTTTTTAAATTTTTGAGCTAATGTTGATGATGATCTTACTTTATAAAAGAGATACGTGTTTTTCTTGAATCTCTGACGGGTCTTGGGAAACAGCTGGTCTACTAGTTCAGTAAGAAATGGCAGTCAAACTTGACGCCCGAAGTTTACCTCTTTATTATGCACCAGTCATATTTTTTTTTTACTTACTGCGACAAATACAAGATTTTTATATCTTAAAACTCTTGATTAATCTGACATAAGTATCACAGAAGTCAATAACCCCCTTATATATGGTGAACAGATATGCAAATGAAGCAAATTATGAATAATAAAAGATATAGATAATTACTATTAAGCAGACATCTCTGCCCAACAATTCATGCCTGTAAATAGCGTGTGAGTGAGGTCTCAGTGATAAGAGGTCACTTAATCATTATTTAGTTTGAGATAAAATAATAATGATCGTGAGACTGTTGACATTAACTTTTAATGTTGTTTGTAGCAGATAACGAAGCCTAAAGAAATGCAGGGTGTCTCAGAAAACTGTATACGCATTAAATTAGAGATTTTCGTGGACATCGAGTGAATGTTTGTACAGTGTTACAGTATTACAAAGCGCTAGGTCTCCCACATGTAAATACAAAATCAGTTAGGCAGTGCGTATACATATGCTTTTTTCTCTGTGTACGTGAAGCAGAACATAATCAGTGTCTCGGCGGTTGTGTACAATCTCCCAAAAGATACAATACATTAAGAGACCTTCCTTGTTTGTTGCTTAATTTCCATCAAAATACACAAAAAAGATGGCACCGAACTTGAGTATTTCACAACAGAACGTAAGAGAGAGAAAATAGGAAGAGCAAGATAAACAGGGGAACAGAGAGACGAAGGCTGTAGCGCTACACCTTATAGCTGCTGCTCATATCCCATCAAAATTATCTATTAATGAAGTGTTCCTGAAGTTTCTCCTAAGTGTGGGAGTCTTATAACCAACACATGAGCTTATTGGTCCTATGAAACACATGTGAGTGTTATTACAAGATTAAAGGTGATTTATCTTGCAAGCATTACAGTGTGTTATATCATACGTGTTCTAGTATATACTCGATAAGTAGTATTATATGAACTGTACAGTTGTCTCAGAGCGTTCCTTTACCCCCAGTGGTGACGTTTGCGTACATGTGGCAAGATTCACAAACCTACAGTAAACAATGGAGTTGATTGGTGGAAAATACTCTTAGACGTAATTTCGCTGGGCAAAAATGATAAATAGATGTTGGAATATAGACCCAGTATAAACAAAATGCATATAAATGATTCTTACAAGTATAAAATACCTTACAAATAAAACGTATACGAGGAAATGTGTATAATTCATGATTATCAAACACCAACTACAGCTCTGTTAGTTGTAGTGACCAGGACGGCCATACTGTACACTAGCCCACCTCAAGCAATGAGATATTAGAGTTATTCCTTCTCTTCTTCTTGTTCTCGCTCTCTCTCATTCTTCTTCTGTGTTGTTTCCCTAGTTTTCTAGTCCTTCTGTGCCCCCAAATGATCAGGATGAATATGTAACACGAATAAACGATAATTATGACAAGCGTTAACTTTGACCTCCGCCAAGAGAAGAAAATGATAACTGTGGCCTGTATATTCAGTGTTACACAGGCTGGTGACGTTATAAATCTTAAGCTCTAAACACATCTCCTCAGAGAGGAACTTAACTTAGTGGTAAAAACTCAACACACACTGGCCCATACCACTCCTCTTTGATACGACAACACGAGCGTCATCAAACCATATTTCATAAAGAAGTGACCCCAGGGTAGGACACACCTTGGGTGCCTCATGTTTTGTTTATTTTTTATTATTGTTTTTTTACGGGGATTAGCCCACCCGGGCACAGGTCACTGACCCACATCTGTGCCCGGGTGGGGGGGGGGAGATGTAATAATAATAATAATAATAATAATAATAATAATAATAATAATAATAATAATAATAATAATAATAATAATAATAATAATAATAATAATAATAATAATAATAATAATAATAATTCATAGTAAATAAAATTTATAATAAAAAGTAAAATAAAATATTAATGGTAATAATAATAATAACAACACTGTGATAATAATAATAATAATAACTACAGAGAAATACAAGAAGAAAAAATCAATTGTGAGAAACGCTATATGTATGTTGTGTTGTCATGTAAGAGAAACAATTGAGACCCTACAATTGTGTATAAATGAGGCAGAAAGACAGATCAGCAACCTGGGACTTGGTCACAATTTTCGTGATGCCATATGGCAGCAGGTTCCACCATTATACAACACATTACGCTTCCAATATCTTCCCAGGCGGTAGTACCTCCCTGTTTGGTAGCTGCCTACTACCTACTACCAGTGTAGGTAATAAAACAAAGGTTGTAAAAGAAAACCATAGCATTATTAAATCACAGTGAAGTACGAAAATGAGAGTTTTGTTGTACTGTACTTTAAACACATTATAACAGGTCTACCGCTTATAAATTACACTTTATAAATGTTGTCAATTACAATTGTTGCACTCCCTGCAGCGAACCAGAATACTCCGAAGTTTATTGTGTATGACGATGTCTACTGTTTACATTAATGCACAAGACCAAAATAAACAAGGAATTGTATCTTTTTAACTTGATATTTTGTCCCCAGATGGAGAAGGACACAACACCTTCAGCCGTGGCAGGATCTTGCCTGCCGTGAGGCAGCAGCAGGGGAGAGACACACTGAGGCCGTCCATCAACTACAACTTGGACACCTCACAGCAACTAATGTTCCCAGACTTGTGAAGTATTTAGGCGTCATCCACGTCCTCACTACCCCTTCGATTATCAAAGCGTCGTCTACCTGAATCAGTCCTTCGATTTTTTGAGATATCTTCCGACTATCCGCCAACAAACTCATAATACGTTAAAGCATTATTTTCCCCTTAAAATTTCCCATCGACAAAAATTTCACCTCCAAAAATTTCACCTTCCTTCAAGATCCTGCAAACCCTTAAAGTTTCACTTTCCTTACCAGCTCCTGCGACTCTTTCAAAGTGAGTTGTAAGAACTGTCTGGGATAATAAGTGCATTCAAGCAAAACTTTGTAGGTTTGTTACTACAAACAGAATGAAGAATAAAGAAACATTGAAACTGATCACTAAAATACGTAAATTTTCATGTGTAAATTCCTGACTTGCGTAGTATCAAGACAAAACTGACATACACTATTTCCGTCCAGTTATATTGAAAACAAAATTATTTCTAAACTTTTGTGGTTGTGTTTGGCCACAACCTATGAACAAAAGATAACACTAATTGTTGGGGAAAGCGGGAAAAAATAAAGACGTCTGGAAAATGTGAATTATCTAACACTCCCAGACCACCGTTTTAGAGGTTTGGCACACGGCCTACATGCGTCACAAGTGGCGGTGTGATGAAATAATCTTGTCATTAAGAAAGCGGATTTCCTTAAGTTAATTCGAAAGAACATTGTTAAACTTTCTCTAGTTTTGTCTTAAAAGTGTTTTTATGAGAAGAATACTGCAAAATATCTCAAATCTACCCCGAGACTTTAATGGTATAATTTAGAAATATATAATAAAGCCAAATAGAATAAAAGCTTTCGAAAAGAAGCAAGACTAATATGATTCAAACGCATCTATGCTGTCGCTCAGATGACTGATAAAAGAATCACTTATATCCTCAACAAGGTCTCAACAGATGAACCAAGAATAATATGAAGATAGAGTGCTGGAAAATCTGAAGAACATGACAACTTGGGTTATTTAGAGGATAAAGAATGCGAAATAATTTGAAGGACACGATTGTTTATAACGAGGAGGTAACGAAAGTTTTGTACCTTAGAGGAGCCGCCAATCGCGAGTACTTTGGTGGAAATGGATCCTTTATCGGCTTGGAAAACATAGAATACTGAATAACTCATGCAGCCGTTAACATCGTTGGACACCATTAGTAAGAAAATACTATAAAAACACATAACTCAGGAAGCATTGGGGGAACTGGACAAAATATATAGTTATTTTATTGAATAATCTCGTATGTGGTTCAGCTGTACAGAACACTTGCTCCGTGTTTCTCTGCGTGGGGAGGAAGATGTCCTCTGTGGGTGTGAGTGAGACTGACGTCATGTGTATCGCTGAACCCCGGATGAAGAGTAGATATACTTTATGATAAACAATAAGTGACAAATTCTTCAGGGACACAGTGTAGTTTAGCCTAAAAAAAATTTGCATTTTTTTATTTCCAGAAAACATGAAAAATATTTAAAGAACAACAACACGTAGGGATAATAAAGAAAACGCTCTATCAGGACGCCACAATACCCGTACCAGAATATTCTTTTATAAAAAGTAATATCGTATAACTACAAGTAGAACTTATAGGAAAATACGGTATACTTGTATGTAAATAACAAGACTGTCGCTTCTGAGTAAACAAAATGTAAATATATCACTCACGAATGTTCTCAATATAAACAAAGGACGAAATATTCTCGGTATCATCTTAACGTGAGGTAAACAAAATCACTATGCCACTGCCAGGATCGCGCTCCTTGTCCCCAGCGTCACCTTGCTGGTTCTACAGCCTCTGGCACACCGCTAACCTCCACCCTTCTCTTGATAACTACCAGAGGCCATGTCGCCTGAGTTGCTGACATCGCCATGAATGGTTCTGAACTGCGACATCGGCCCGAGATCGATGTCAGCGCCTTCAACAGCTCTGGAGTCGTGACCCCAGGGAACGCCAGCTATAACCTGGCCACGGTGAGTTGGCCCCGTGTGTGTGTGTGTGTGTGTGTGAGATAAAGCGTATGTAAATTTGATCATGGGTTAAGAAAGGTTTTCGAAAAGAGAGAGTGTATGTGTAAATGCCCGGTACAAATAATTAACGTCACTGTTATTATGGGTGCGGCGACCGAATAGATATAACGTTTGGCGTCTGTTCTACTGTAAGTGTCGCTTATTCGAGCCCATTGTGTCCCCAGTTGATCCAGATGTAAATGTATACACACAGCAAAAAGTATCTTTAAACTTACACTGTCGTACAACATGACACAACGGGCGAAATATTTTGAACAAAGATCTTTGTTCATGTATCATATTGGTAGCTTTAATTACCTTTTATATGGGAAAATGTGGTTATGTCACTATGTTAGTGACTCACTTCTCTATATATCACCAGTGTTATATAGAACAGCGTGACAGGAAACGTAAATATACGAAATGGGTGGAACATTATTATCACGGAGTAGACGAAATGCTGTGCTTATAAAGTTGAGAGGCAGTAAATGTAAGACATGTTCCCTGCATTGAATGCATATAATATCATAATTAAAGTAAACTTGGGCCCCTACCGAGAATAATGATAATAATGGTGGACAATGCTTCGGAACTCTTCATAGTGAATACCAAGATAACAACAGGAATTTACATAATCGACTTGGTTGGTGGAAATATGTGGAAATAATTTCGAAGCGAAACAAACACCACTCTTTGTCATCAGCAAAAGTTGACCTTACAAACATCTCAACAAGGCTGAGGTTGGCACCATTTGCAATTGAGCTCATAATATATTACGAAACATGACTTGTATGTTTGTAACAATATATAAAGACAGTTAATGTGTGTATATAGTATTAGGTTTAGGATCCCATGAGCGCTACATTATAAACAATAACACATTCCAATATAAACATTAATTCGCATTTCTTTTATAAACAGAACAGGAGCCTGTGAGTCTGCAATACATTCAAACAAATACAGTTGTAACATATGTCAACTACTTCGTTGTAACCCGCTTACTTGTATATGCTATACTGTTACTGTTTATGGCAGCGTATCTCTTGAGTTGGATGTTTATAAATGTGCGTAAAATAAAACAAACTGTGGCGTCTTGCAACTTATTAATTCATTTCAAATGTAACGTAAAGAGGAGTTACAAATATTATTACAACATTATTAAGAAATGCACTTCACAGTCAAGCATAACAATCCTTCTGATATGACAGGAGCCATAGTGCTCATTCTAAAATCCATCACACCGTGCTGCAAAGATACTTTTATGCTGTGTACCTTAATTTACAATTAAAGAAGTGAACGGGATCCCAGGCAGTGCCGACCACGCTCCCTCCTTGTATACAATGTGTTATGTTCATACTGCCTATGGGACTTACATGTACCGCATTCATTATTTGTGACATTTATCCAGGACATTATATACCGCGGTCAATTTTGAACCATTGTCGGCGTGTTTTTTCTACAAACGTCTAATCTCTAAGACTATGGATTCTTCAAATTATAATTTCTTGTAAAAATCGTACAACATTCTTAAAGTTGACAAAACCACCGAACCTAACCTAACATAACTTACGATTGTTGATAGTATTTTGAGGCAAGTTGGGTTAGGTTATGTTTGGTAGGTTTGGCTAGCATGATACAGTAGCCGCCATGATGGAAAACTGCTATGATACTGCCCTAGACAACTGCCTTATTGTTGTTATTTGTCATTATGATTATTATCCCTACCTTATTGTTATTCAAACTCTTACTTATATTGCATGTTTTTTGTTTTTTTCCATATGGTAATTATCTTAATAAGCCGTGCTGAAAGTTATTGTTGTTGTGTTGCAGGGGTGGTGGAGCGGATGGGAGGGTGTCACGCTGGCCACACTGCAGGTGGGAGTGTTTGTGGTGGGGCTGCTTGGTAACGTGACAGTAGCGGCCTCCGTGTGGCGGAGGGGGACGGGGCAGCAGCAGCAGACGGCTGCACACCGCCACGCCCTCCTGCTGTCCCTGGCGCTAGCTGACTTGATGGTGACCCTGCTATGTCTGCCTGCTGCTGCCACAAGCCTGCTCACCTTCCCCTGGGCGGCGCCTTGGATCCTGTGTCCCCTGCTGACCGCTGCCCAGAGCACTGCCCATGCTGCCTCTACCCTCTCCCTAACCTTACTGGCGCTTGACCGATACCTCACCGTCAGGCGACCCAAGTTGGCCCCAAAAGTTTCAGCGGTGACGGTGCAGCTGTTAGTGGCGCTGTGGTTAGTAGCAGCGTTGATGGCACTGCCCCGCGGCCTGGTGGCTACCCTACAAGCTCCAGGTCCTGTGTGCCGTGAGATGTGGCCGGTTCCCGCCGCCCGTATCATCTACCACACAGCTGTAGCTGCACTCATCCACCTCCTACCTTGTGCTGCCGTCATCCTCTGTCACGCCGCCGTAGCAGCATCGCTAAGACGTCGTGGGATGGAGGACACGCGGATGAACCTGCGACCGCGGCAAGTGATCATCATGGCTAAGGACTGTAGTCTGGGGGGAGCCAACAACCATAAAATTGTGGCCGCATCATCAAGCGGAGACTCTGCCGACGGCGAGGACGACAGGGCTGCCTTTGACCTGCATGAGGCGGCTGTCTCTCAGCCAGTGAGAGACGCGGGCAAGGGCAGGGGACCACAGCCGCCCCCGCGGGCTGTACCAACCATGAAGCCCGCCAAGGACGTACATACCATCATCCGCGCCCACCGACGCATGCGGTTGCGGGGCCCCGCCCATGCCGCCTCCATCTTCACCTCCTACCGCGGACACTCAGTGGAAACCCGGAGGCGGCTGGCCCGGCTCCTGGTGGCATTGGGAGCGGTGTTCTCCGCGTGTTGGTTGCCTTATGTAGTGGCGCTAGTGGTATGGGCGGTCCGGGAATCCCCTGGAACCCGCCACGCCCTGGAGATCACCCTGGTGTTGGGCCACGCCCACTCTGCCGTCAACCCGGTAGTGTACTGGCTCATGAACCGCGCCTTTCTTTCTTCCCTACACCGCCTCGTGTCCGCCCAGCTACGCCTACCCCAGGGGCTTTCTTGTGGGGGATGCGCTCGTCCCTCCTGCCTAACACGCCCTCCGGCTGCGCCCTGGGCCGGGAATTCTTCTACTAATGAGGACAACCTTGGGCCCTTCCACCCAAAATACCTCAACCCGCACGCCCTCAGACCTCAAGCGTCCCGCTGCACCTCACACTACTTCCATTAGTTGTCACCCCCACACAAACCACCTCGTTAGAAGTAGTCACCACACACACACACATTAACACACACACACACACACGCACACACCACCTCCGTTAGCAACAGTCGTCACCACACACACCACCTTACAGGTCACAGGAATCCTCACCAAGTATCCATATTAAATCCTGAAACTTTTCGAAGCAAAGCAAGTACATAATGTTGTAAAGAATCATTTCATTTGTGTTGATCTTTATGATACAATCCGCTTTAGTAAATTGCTCTCTCTCTCTCTCTCTCTCTCTCTCTCTCTCTCTCTCTCTCTCTCTCTCTCTCTCTCTCTCTCTGATGTTTAGGATTCTTGAATAACATTTAAACAGTGCTCACTCCTTTTACAGTCATTAACAACACACTACGACTCTTTGTTGTCTTTAGGCACAACTATAATCAAGAAAAGGAATAATGCACATCTTTTTTTCTAATACTTACAGCTCTCAACCCGAGATGATGCAGTGAGAAAAGTATTTTATCATTTCATGTTCACATTAACAAGAGGAGCAAAATTATATTCCTATATAATACATAATTATACAAATATAACTCACACAGTCATGTTAAAACATGCAACTCATGGAAATCCTGTACTGCCGTCTATTTTTCTCTTTTCTTCACTAATATCTCCCGTCCTCAACAGAATATGATATAATGACTAAAGGACAACTTAGATCTCAGCATCTTCTTAGACTTTTATATATAATGGACCCTTAGCGCAGTATGAGAACATAAATTCTTAACAGGGTGCAGTGTGGCTGCCAGACGGACGAGTAATCATAACAATTCAATCCTGCCATACTGACAATTATACATCCTTTAACTATCTTCACTCCTTATCAATTTTATAGATATAGTATTTATTATAGTATATATGACCCAGTTCTGTATTTTGTTATTCTTTTCATTTGAATATATCCGCCCAAACATAGGGGCTGATAGCTTTTTCACTTACGTCGATACATCTTCATTTACCATACAACTTTGTTAATATTCAAGATGAAATGATCAACAGTAACAGAAGAAAAGCCTCAAGAACTGCAGGTAGTGACTTGTGTGATCACTGTAGTCACCAGGTTACATAACTTCTGTGATCTATAGACATCTAAAATTAATTTAAAGCTTCCCGTGTAAAAACTTGAGATAATCTTGATTATCTACATCAGGGGTGCTCAACCCACTGTCTTAGGGTCGCATGCGGCCCTCAGGGAGATTTAATGCGGCCCTCGGCAATTAGTAGAAATATAATTAAAGTTACTGAATATTTTATATAAATTTAATATAACAAACACTATTATGATAGTGAAATAGTATCGCACTAAGCACGTATGTTCAGCGAATAAAGCCTTTGTTATATTTCCTTATGAATCTGTTTGAAGTTTCTGTTCAATAAATAAAGTCTTTGCCTTATATCTTAGGAATCTACTTAATTATTTTCTCTATAACAAAATTATGATTATTTTAGTAGTAAAACCAGTGACTTCTGTAAGAGGTGTTCTGATTATGATTCCTTTTTTTAAGTTTAAAAAACATGGTTGATGTTATTAATGTAAAGAATGTACTGTATACAGTATATTATTTACTACGTTTATTCACATTAAGGTCAATGTGTGGCCCGCATCACACATTTGCCCATCAAATGTGGCCCACTCACGGAAAAGGGTTGAGCACCACTGATTCTACTCGTAGTTTTATATCGACGACAAGAACGCATCACATTTACCAGTACAAACACTCGTGTGGCCTACAGTATAGGTAGGAATCATTGATATTTATTGGATTCAGTTGATGCTCATTTGTTAACTCTATAAGAGATGATCCCAAAGCTTGCTTTAAGCTCCTATAGATACGATTACTGATATATACATATGATATCTTCCCTCGCGTACAAAAATACATACATCAGTCATATTTGTTAGTCGTTATGTTCTTTAAGTTTGTGTGAAAAATTTTGCGCGAATGGTTGCACTAAAACAATACTCTTAAGATAATGCTATTTTTCTTACGCAGGTGTACACAGGTGTTCCACTACCTTCTCACTGCTACACCTGGATATTGACAAATTAATTCACTTCATATTACATTTACGGGTTTACATTTTGTTTGTATACTCTGTATATACAACATATAAACTGTATATACAACATATGTGTGTGCGGGTGTGTGTGTGTGTGTGTGTGTGTGTGTGTGTGTGTGTGATTATATTTTGTAACCATGCCTCACTGCCTACATATACATAAACTAGAGTAGAATCTTTATCAATACTAATAATATAGCACATTACTTGTGTATGATAGAACAACAAATTAACTATCAGCCAGTAACATCCACTAACAACCTGGCCTGAAGGATGGAAGAGAAACACCCGCTGGGTAAGAGAGGAACCCATGTAAAACAGAGGTTGATTCCAACCCTTGATATTGTCGTCTGGTCTATGTTTTTCTGTCCCATATTAAGTTGATGGTGTTAATGTCTATAACATTTCTTGTTCATGTATTAGGCAAACATTGGTCATTTTATTGACAACTTTCCAAGAGTTTTGACAGCATTTAGTCACTGATTTTTCATATTCAGGTGTAAAGGTTTTAGTCTAATACTCATCAATAATATGTTGATATTTTTCTTGTCATGATTTCACATAAGAGCTAAGATGATAATTATATCTTTGCTAGAGATAAATTCTTAGAGTTATGAAATGTTAAATGTTCAATGTAACTCAGACGACAATTTTTTACTCAACCCATCGCTTACGTGAAAACCTTGGTACAAACTTATTGTGAAAGACAGAAAAATTAAAGTTCTCTTCCATTTCTCTTACCCAGCGCCCCGCTTTCCCCAGTCTGGCTCCAGATTCTCAAAAATTCGTACGATGTATTTCCTTTACCCTAACTGTGGATAATAGTAAGCATCTAGTTAGGTTCGACTTTTAGTGCAAATTCTACTCCCTTTCTGCAGCCATCACTGTGTCATCATTTATGTTAGGCAGGAAGAGACGATTTAGTATATTACAGTTAGGAGGAAAAATACCATTGGAATGTTTGAGAATCCTGGCCTTGGGTAGTACAGTATACAGCGCCAGCAGAGCCAGCCAGAGTCCAGGAGGATAATGTATATGTCATGTTGACCTGCCCTCAGCACGCTGATAAGGTGGGCGGCTCGCTAGCCTCATGACACTTGCCTGATGCATTGAGTCTTTTTTGTGGTTAAGGGGAGACTGCCTGCAAAAAGGACTCGACGCTTTCAGTCTTGCTAAGTATACAGTATATATATATAAAAATAGTATAAGTTTGATTATGTCGATCCTACACATACTTATTATAATAAATAATTTTGTACAAGAAAAGCTGAACAATAAAGATAGAGCACAAAAGTCTGTGAGTGTTTACAGAACCTTTGATAGGTTATGAACCCAGCCTGGTGGAATAGGGTGTGTCATACGGAGGCGAATTTTTTTTTTTTGAGTTTGAAAAATCGGCCCATGATATTAATGATGTAGTTCTATGTGCAGAATCATGTGATATCTTCAGATTTGAAAAGTTTTCATTTTTTGCTAGGTAAATTATAACTTGAAATCTTATGAAAATTCAGTATTCCCACCCTTTTACCAACACCACTAAATAGCTTATTTAAAGTAAAGTAAATGTATCAGGTTAATTTATTAGGATGAAAATGATCCAGAATAGTGAAACGAATGATCTTGACACATTTATTAAATTTAATATTCCTTTAGAAAACAAAATCATCAAATACAAAAACCGGTTTTACTACTACGACCCGGTGTTGCTGCACACCATAGAGAACATGTCTTTCTTGCTTCTGTTTCTACTCATCACCTCCCTGCTGACCACCTGAGCTCGGATGTAGCCTTCCCTCCTCTCCTGGCTGTACACGTGACTGCTGGCCTCGCTCACTTGCTGTACACAACGCTCTATACTCTGGGTGTGCGAGGGCCAGGCAGGGACATGCATGGGGTTGTCCAGGAAAGCTCTGACTTGAACATTGGTGAGGCTGCAGGTAAGAGGGGGCTCACTGCCAGCCTGGATGTTATCCAGATCTATGAGATCAGTGAGGGTCTTGGCACCTAGATTGACTTCAGGAGTCTTCCTGACCCTGAAGGAATCGTCACCAACTGATTCGTCATGCCCAGATCCTCTCATAAGTCTCATATCCAAGATCTTTTTGACTGCCACTCTTCTCTCCTCCTCATCCTTACTGCAGAGCATTGTCTGCAGAACTGCCTCGGGATGAGCATACCAGGAAGATCTCCTCACAGTCTGCTCCACAATCTGAACAACCTTCCTTGGCCGACTCCTCAGGAGCTCAAGCTGGAAGAGAACATGCCTCGGACCTTCGGAGAACGATGACTTGACCTTGGTGTTGAACCAATTTGGCAAGTAGACACTCACGATGAATTGGACAATAAGTCTCAGGTTGTGAAGCTGGTTCCCTTTCAGTTTATGATGAGCGACCCAAATTCTGCAGAACCTGAGAGCCGTTGTGAGCCACCTAGAATGTGAGACAGGACCTATCTGCAGGTAAGCAAGTCTATCAGGCATGACCCCAGTTTTGATGTCACTGCAAATCATGTAACCATAGTAATGGTCAGTACTCAGGTCGTCAATGACAGTATGTGCAAGCTCAACGAGTGGAGGGCCAACTGTGATTTTTTCAAAGCTCGGATATATTTCTAACTCAGTGGCAGAGTCCAGCATCTTGCCAAGGGGACCAGACCATCTGTTGTTTGAAAGAGTCTTGCCATCCAGCTCCTGGATCAGATGTCTGAGTGGCAACTCGTTGGTGTGGAGGTCACAAACAATCCAGACCAGCTTCCTCCCAATCTTCCGCTCTATCCACTGTATGACCCCCCCTTGCCACCCTGTGTTCGTGTTGGTGCTGTCCTCAATGGCCTGCAGGGTCAGTCATTCCTCTCTCTGAGCCAGTTCTGTGTTACCTGCCACTATCTCAGCTGGTTTCCTGATGTCATCTTTCTCTGGAGTGAAATGCCACAAATACTTCCCTCCTGGTTCACTGCAGCAGGGTAGTGTTCCTCCTTCACCATGGCTTGAGAACAACTTGTCGAATCTCCAGCTTTCATGAACACTTTAGTGTCATCCCTTCTCCCATCAAAAGAACAAACAATTGATTCATTTCTCTTATCATATCAAGCTCCTCTTCCTGGGTTACTGACCAAATTTCTCCTGAGCTCTCCTTACTTTGTTATGATCTATCACCAGGTGAACATCATCAGGTGTTATCAAACCACCGTCAACCCAGGCAGCTGTTGCTATCTCTGCAGTTTCTCTGAGACCAGTGTGGTGTCGCATGCTGGCCAAAGCTATGCTCGGGATATCTTTCCTATTTCGAATCTTATGCCTGGAAGGTTTGGGATCATTATTTTCTGGGTTAGGGACAAAGTCACCATTCTCCTGGTCAGCACTCGGATCAGCCATGGGGAAGTCATTAAACTCTGAATCAGCTTGACTCCAATCATCGGTCTTTTTTACCTCACCCTGGGCCTTCTCAAGTCTCTTTTCCTCGGCAACTCTTCTCCTCTTCTGTCTCTCTGTGGCAGCCTCCTGTCTCTTGGACTCCGGAATATCTTGGCTAGAAATCATGAGAGCCCCTATACTGCCAGTCTTCTCTCTGTGCTTTGACAAATGCCAGTTCGATCACAGGAATCTTCAGTTCACGCTTGCAAATACAGGAGATGTGGGCCTCGGATTTACAGTCACGATCGCATCCAAACTCAGGACAGAGAACAATTGGGCACTTGCAAGTAATTATGTCAAATAACTGGTCCAGTTTGCAGCAAAGCTGTCCTTAACTGCAAGTTTTCCTCTCCCAAGAGAGATATCTTGCCTTTTCCCAACTGGCTAACAGTCTCTCACTAATCTTCTTCTGACTTGTTATGACTGGAGGCTTGAAACGTTAGCCAGAGTGTACTAATGCCAAGACAGTTTTGGTCATATCACTGGCAATGTCTTTGTTTGTGTAAGTTCTTTGGTTCTTTTCACTGATTTGCCTGATTAAAACACCGTATCTCAAAGCATCTCTCAATGTAGGCAACTCCGACTTCAGGAGCTCTCTCCCAGACCCAAGATAGTGACTGAGATGGCTGGATTTTTGGTTCCTCGTCCTGACACAAGCAGCCATCGCAAATATTATCAACTTATAAATGCATCAGAATCTGAAACAGAAAAAAAATATTGTTAGTTGGGTTGTTAAAGAATGAAGTCAGAAAGCAATGTTCACTATTTAATTGTAATGCACTAATGCAGCTGTACGTTAGATTTTCGATAAATTTCACGCTAAAATTTACCTAGCAAAAGGTTGCAAAATATTGAAACTGAAATTATTTTCTGTTTATATACACTAAAATCTACCAAAAAAGTGATGGGCCATTAGTTTTAGCTGATCTTCCCTCCTATGACACACCCTACTGGTGGAAGACTACTGGTGTACACGATAGGTTCTCTCTCCACCCTGAGATGTTTTGTAAACACAGAAAGTCACAAGAAGAATATCAATTGCTGGTGGTCAGAACATCACCCCAGGATTTCGTGATGATGTTCCTACATTACGAAGGTCTATCTCCATCACCAGTGATCTTTGACACAATTCACTTCCAGATATATCACTGATCAGGAGTTGGAACTTGGCGGTAATAGAGTTCACTTGTCCTCCGGGTTTACTTTTCTTTCTCCCTATACATGATCCAGCCTCCAGAGGCTTATAACACATTTCACCTCAGCCTCCCATAAACTCTGGTAATCCTCACAGGTTTAGTGCAGGAAAAACAGAAGTCAAGGCGCCTCAATTTATCTTGTTTCATTACCCAGATGGCTAAGAAAGTTTATAGTCGGCCGTCCATTGTGGAGACCTCTGACTACCCAGGTCCCGGTGGGCGTCCATATTAGTCCCCAAATGGCAAATCATAGCCAAAAATAAGGGTCACAATATTTGAAGCTAAGCAAGCTTCAGTGACAGTTTATGTACGTCAAATCCCCATATACATTTCGTCAATATTTTAGTTATCGTGAATGCCAATGGCCTATGACTTTTAGCATAAATTTATCTTGTCAACCAATTTCTTTATAAACTTGAAAATCGGGGATTATAAGTTAGTAATAGTGTTGTTTAATATAATTTGAGTAAGAAAGGTTTATAGAGAGGTTCGGTAAGGTTTTGTCCTGTGTTAGTAATGAACTAATAGGAAAATATACAGAAATAAAATGTGCAAAAAACTAGCTGCACATATTTGCCCTTCATTTAACAAAAGCGAATTCTTCAGAACTATCTGATATGGCTGGCACATGCCTTGTTTAAATCGCTCACGTGTTCTCGTTTTCTACTTCGTACACTGGTCCCAGCCAGCCTCGTTTTCGACAGTGGGTGGCGTGACACGCAGACATATAAATACTGCATTAACCTCCTACAATAATATTAGTAGCACAAGGTAAGATGGATAATTTCTATACAAACATTATTGACTTATGTAGCACATTCAGAGATTGGTAATATTGCAGTAAACAGCAACCACAGAATTCCGGAAATTCACTACACTCAATCGATAGAACTATTTTTTCTATGATCATTTTCTTATATTACATTAGGTTAGCTTAGGTTAGGTAACACATTTTTATCAGAATCTTTGGTTACTGTAATCTGCAATTTTACCCAGAGATATATATATGATTCATAAATTAAATTAGATACATAAAATAAGAGATTAAACTCACGCCAATATCAAAAGAAAATATAAATGTTACCCATTAAATCACATTGAAACCTCTTCTCGTGTTAACAATGACTGGTGTTAATTGAAGATTACTATTCATTATAGCCCTAGTAAAGTCTGGACTCTGAAACTACTCATCCCTTTCAGATGGCGACTATGAGCAGAATAGATTTAATATAAAAATACCTTGCAAAGAAAAATAACCATACAATGTAAGTAAATATTAATACTGTATAAAAATAATACAATTATAACTAATAAAAAACTGCACCAAAGTATACACCCTTTTTTTATTATCAATTCTTAATATATACACTTTATTAAAGTATTTGTAATATTGGTCAAACACTTTGAATAGTGCAATGTGTTGAAAAATGGGTTATGGGTCCCTATGTTTTTGATCATGAAATCGCTTGTTGAAACTAGAATCCCTACATACTGAGAGTAGCGACATAGGCGGTCCCGTGTTTAAATAGAAAATGCGGCTACGGGACGCCATCTTGACGCCACCGAGCCCCTCCGTTCACGTTGACCTGTGGATTCACGCGGATCATATTCCTGGTTGGAAGTGGACATAGTGTGTAATGTGTAATGCCGTGCTGCTGTGCCATCGGATGCACTAACAGATCGGAGAA